CTACAGTTACCTTTCAGACATATCCAGTATGTTTCTGCATTCATCAGGAGGGTTTTTCCATTTTTTGCTTTGTGCAAAGAGAAATTAACAGTTTCAGATATCAAAAATAACACTATATAACTCAAACATTTCTAACACCTAGAAGTTTTCACAAGGCAATCTGGACTTTGAAAGAAACAGATTTCCTTGAAAACAGACTACTCACTTTAGAGGGCAGGAACAAAGGCTACCTCTAACAATTACAGGAAAATGTTCTGAAATGCACATACCAGGATCTAAATACATGAAACAGAAAGAGTAACTCATCTCGACTTCTCTTTAAAATAAAGATGAACTAACAAAAATTCATTTTGGGGGAGTGGTGGTGTGATTTTTGTTGGTTGTGCTTTAATCCTTTTGATGAGAGAGACAGCTGGTACCATCTGTTTCAGGACAGAATGAAAATTAAAACTTCTTCACTGTACTTACATGTGAGGACTGAGTTCATAAAAGTTTCGGTTTCTGTATTCTTCCACTTTCTCTGGAGTATAAATGGGTAGAGGTCTGTAGGGGTTTATTGATATCACCACACTGCCAATGTATGTCTGTTGAAAGAAAACAAAAAAAATTATCATGGATTTTTCTTTTAACATACTTTTGCTGCTTATATATTATTCTCCCACCTACTACTTATGCAAAAAACAAACAAATGAAAAGCATAATTGTAGCAATAAATATGTCCATACACACTGAAACACCTTTTAGATCTCTCTCCACAATCGCTGTTGGGTACCAAGCAGCAATTTCTACATAACTGAAACTCTCTTATGAACATTTCTTTAAAAGAAAGCCCAATTGTACATTATTTCTGTGACTAATTCAGTTGGGGGAGGGAAAGGGAAAAGGACACAGACATTCACGAAGAACCAACTCCATCTGTGTGGCAAATGTCACACGAGCTTTGCTGCAGCCCTTGGGCACTCATACAAAACCACGTCAAGGCAAAGCTGGAGTTGGTTGTTCTCCTTCAGGAGAAGGAGAAGCTTCTCAGGAGAAGCTTTGTGCCATGTTTCCAAAGCCTTGGGCACAGAAGAGGTTTATGGAGAAGAAACCTGAAGGCTAACAGCTTCTGACAGGTTTCTGTCAAAGGAGAGAGGAGAGATTTACTGTCAGGATTCAAGCCAGTCGAAGTCCTGCTGTGGTTCCTCAGCAGATGTGAAGCATAGCTTTATTTCTAGATTCTAAACATACTTGCTAATAGCCTTGGAAAGCAGACGGAGTAACATGTTGTTTCACTCCGTTAGGTCCCATCCACTACCGAGGTGAATGAAGACTGATACTGTACACCATGATTACCACATTGGCACATGAAACAATTAATCTGCCTTCACCAAGTCTACTGCCAGGAGCCCCGCAGCTCCCTACTCCTCCCTCCAGCTTCGAGGGCTGCCTTCAAACACATCTGAGTGGCAAAAACACCAAAACCCCCTTCCGCCCTGCCTGCAGATACCAATCAAAGATAATTAAACCCCAAGTGCTTGGTATCTCTTTCCACAACCACGAAATAAATAAATAACACCCGATAAAACACAATTTTCCACTAACCAGGGAGCCCCTGGGAGATGCAAAAGCTGCACACAAAAGCCCCAGGTTCCTGTTCTTTGGATTACATTCGCTAGTAACTACGGAAGAAAAACAGTGGTTTCCACATAGATCTAGGATTTTAAATGGCTTCTTCACAGTGATACCTTAGCACCTTGCAATCACTGTTTGTATCTCTCCCCACAATTTTTCTTACAGGAAAGTGCTGTAATATACATTTTTAAATGGGGACAGAGGCAGAAGGAGCCCGAGTTACAGGTTCAGAAGAGCACCAAATTACCTCCAGAGATGCAGTCACAAATTAAAAATATTAATTGCTGCGACCCTTCCCTATCTAACTTTCACATCTAAAGCAATTTTCTGCTAAATGCTAACCAAATTTGGTCCTAAGGAGAAAGCTAGGAGAGCAAGATTTCCCATTTTCCACAGCATGCATTTGCGCAGGCAAGCTGTGAACTCACACATTTTCTGTCCCAACTCAAAGAGAGTTGAACAAACTAGACTGCAGCGATAAAACAAGTAGCAGGAGGCTTCCAGAGACTCTTGTAGTTCATCCTTGTAGTGTTTACTACCCACAGGACGAAACAGAAGCAACCGCTGCTGACAATTCGCGGTACAACTGCTGCTACAACGAAACACGTACTGCTCTAATTGAGCTCATGACACCATTTCTACACAAGGCATACTTTCTCCTCTCCTTTGGAACTGGCCAGAAACCTTCTGCAAAACATTTCTCCACCATGCATCCGAGCCCAGAACAGACCAAATACCCTAGAAACGGGCAGGTTTCGCACCAAGAGCCCATGCGGACTGCTGCGACAGGGAGCAAGCCTGAAGTTCCCTCGCATCTCGACAGCCAGGCTGCAACCCTAGGGTGGGACAACTCCAATCTGCCTCGTACCGCAACCCAGGAGGGGAACACTCCCAAAGGCATTCAGATACAGACTGTTGAGAAAATCCCCAAATAATTAAGATTTTTACCTCTTTCAAACACACGCCACAGTGTGTGCTTACATACGTTTTCTTCAAATAACAACAACAAAAAAAATCGTTCTAGTTTTGTGGTCATCCTCCCCCTACGGAGGACACTGTTTTCCATCTATGTCTAATCTCTTTGGCTGAACAAGAAGAAAATGCAAAAATTGCCTTTCTACAGCATTTACTTTGCTCTCTCAACACATGCTGCTTTGGCAATTTGCAAGCCTACAGATTCTCGATGAGAATAACAGATATCCAAGAGTAAGAAGCTTTCTAGTCTTTAGAAGTGCATGGATACCCCAAGTGGAACTCTTTCCTGATAAAACATTAATATGTTAACTTGTTTCCTCCTAAATCTTAAGAATTTGTGAATTCAGTCTGTTGTGAAATCAGTGCTGGAAAGCATCAGCAGAAGAGAGATGCAGGCCAGATCTTGAAGATTGTATTTTGAAACAGGAATTCTTTGGAACTTGAAGACTTGCCCTTTTCAGCTATTCCGCTACCATAATAGCATACAATTTAATTGCTTTTAGTACCCCGAGATGTCAAGGTAAAGGAAGATGAGTGAAAGTGAAAAACCTTGATTTTTAATTTTGAATGCAGGCATTCAGATGAGATTTATTTAGAACCATCTCTTCATAGCTAAGTATTGCTTAGACGATGTATTTTGGGAGTTCAAGTCAGCTGTTTATTGTCAGACATGAACAAATACAGACCATTTCCTAAAATACCAATACTTCAAAAGGTCAAATGCCTATATAGAAACAAAGACATACTCATGTCCATTTTAAACACCAAGCCAAAGCATATCAAGAAATCACTGGTTTTGCTGCAAAGCTGCTTACAAAAACTAATAAGTTTCCTCTTCTAAAAACGCCAGTATCTCAAATCCGATGCCTAATAGCTACTTGCCACTGGTGGTCTGTGAGATTCCACATAACAGGGATAAACAGATCCAGAAAATAGCTTTCCCACATAACATCTGCCTTCCCACCAGAACTTTATTATATACAAACAAAATAAAATGGCTCAAATCCTTGAGCAAGTGACGAGCACAGAAACATTCCAGTGCTAAAAGCAGGACATCCAAGAGTAGTGGGAGATCATACCGTGGCACCCCAGGGACTAAAGACATCGTTCATTTTCCCTGTTTAAGGAAAAAAATGAAAACCCAGAGGAATGGCCTCATGATGATGAACGCACAGAACGCAGTCAGGAGATTTGATTTCTTTCCTGGCTTTGACACGGTCTCGTTATGCAAGTTTGGACACAATCTGCTGTCTCCTCAAGTTTTGCTAACTAGAGACTCTTGATAATACTCCTTCCTCCACATTTCTACTCTATTGCAATAACTCACAAAGCCACATTCTGCCTCCTTGGTGTGTCTGTCCAAACCCAAACCAAAATGACTCTCACTCGTTGTTTATCAGTGCATCTGTCATGTAGCACAGCAACACTGTAATAGGCTAACCTTTCATCTGCGGGAAAGAGCATTCGAATTTCTCAGGTCAAATGACAACACATTCTGCATTCTCCACCAAAACAACACAGACAACTCATTCCTGTTCAGCAAAGAGCTTAAGACCCTGAGAAGGAAGAAAATTCTAAATCACAACTCAACTGGAAAAGCCAATAATACTTGTTACATCACTTCTAAGTACTGCTGGAGATGCAACATCCAAGACGCTTTGATGCCCCGTTTTCTCCCCCTAGGACTGAAAGCAAACACAACCACTTGAGGCAAGATGTTACTGCTACTTCAAGCTTGTATCCGCCTTGCAGGGCCTTCTGTGCCTTTCTAACCCAAGCAGCTTTACGACTGGCTTAAGAAGCCACTTGAAACAGCAAGATGATGCAAGGCTCCTGTTGCTTGGGAGTAACCTACAGGCAGCAGTCTCTTCCCAGCCAAGGACTGAGGGGAGCTATTGCCAGAAATTGGTAAACTACATGAACGCTTGTGCATTGTTTTCAGCTGAGAGGTTGCAAAAACCTTATAGAGAGCCCAGTGAAAGGTCCCCAAACACCTCCGCAGCCAGGACCCACGAGCACTGCAGTGAAATCTGATCCAGGGGGAAGAGGCAGTTCAGGCCAGCTCAAGAAGGGCAGCTTTTAGAAGAACACTAGTGGAGTTTACAGGAGAATATTTCGCACCCTGGGATACCGTATATTAATAAAGCTATCTTTCCTCCCAGCAAAGTTAATGTTGTAATACCCCGAGGGCCCAGAAGAGAGAAGATTGTAGCTGCAGAAGCCAGAGAACGTTATCAACAGCAGTTGAGGCTGCACCGCAGGAGCTGCAGAGCTGGGTCTATCCCAGCAGCCTGCTCCATATCTTTAAAAGCTTTTCTGGATCTGTGGCATCCTCTGCACAGCAACCTTCTGCAGAATTGAAAATCATTAAGCAGCTAAAAAGATTTGCTGCAAACCTTCTGGAAGTATACTCTACATCACTTTTGGCAGCTCCATTAAAAAAGAATCCACTGCTTCTTACCCATGGTCGCCTGTAACAGTCCAGAAAAAACTGCTGCTCCACACAAGTCACTCCCGCTGTAAAATGTCCAATTGCTACCGTACCTTGCAAGTGTGCTGAATTCCCAGGGCCTAGTAAGGTTGCTCTACTTAATTATTTTTTAAAACCCTGGAGCACAAAAATAGAAAAGAAATACATTCTAGTAAAAGAAGATTGCTAGTGTGGATACTGGTTCTTCCATTTATGCAGACCAATTTTAATACTCCAGATATGCATAACGCACATTTCTTCAGTACTAATTATGCTCCAGCATACTGACTTTGTACCATTTTGAACAGTTTCAGATCACACCACTAAAACAATACATTGAAATGAGAGACACTGAAGTAAGATCAAAGAAGAGCATGACTAAATTTTATCGGAACAAGCCCAGAACCACGGCTCGGGCAGCACTGCTTTCTTTGCAGTGGACAGAGTTGTGTTTTGGTTTCGTGTTGTTTTTTGGTGGTTTTTTTTTTTAATGTGACATATGCAAGATTATATTTCTAATATAAT